CTTCATTTTGAAAGAACAACTCGATCCATTTAGATGGCGCTAAAAATGGAATTTTTTTATAAGCAACCCTCTTCTTTCTCCCAAATGACAATGTTTCAGAATATGCAAGTTCTGTCTTTGCAGGGTTTACCAAAAAGTTTCTGGCTACAAGTAGCTGGAACAGTTTCCCCATTACTCTGTTTCGTAACGTCTGATTGTTTATAAATGCAGTTGCACGTAACATTTGGGCAGACTGCCATTATTTCACAGTCATTGAAAACTTTTAAATTAGAAATTAACATTAAGTCATTGACTGTTTTTGGAAAAAGGGAATGAGGAGGATGCTTAATGCAAGAATAAAGGTAATTATTGAAATAATCAAAGAAAAAAGACTATTTGAACAGTAATAGTTTAACTTCAACTTAACAAGAATATGGCAGATCCACTGTACAAAAGGAATTAAGTTATCTCCTTCCGGAATGTCTTGTTGAGGGCAGGTAGAAGTTTCGCCTGGCAAAATGTCCTCTCCTCTTGCTGGTATCTCTTTGTAATCTATAAGAAATGAAAAAATAAAAATTTACTGAAGGAATGATTACTTTTTTTAAATATTTTTTAATTAAAGCATTTCTTACGTTTACATACAAAATAGAAATTAAGAAAGAGAAAAACACACACACACACACATATATAGTACAAACAAAAGAATACAAAGCTAAACAAAGCTATTACAGCAATACAGTTACTTAGTATGTAAATGACAATGACATCACTTTAAACTAATGATTGAAATTAATCATATCATCACTTATTCGTAAAAACGCTTATTAACTGTTCCGACTTTCTAAAATGATTGTTTAATTTGTCTCTTTTCCTGGCAATATGGAGTTCGATGTTGTAAATACGCCTTGTCCTGGCTATGAAACCTTGAAGAGTAGGTATACCATTCTGTATTTCCGAGAGTAAATGTAAAACTTACCCAGAAGCAAAATATGGTTAAACAGGAGAAAATCTTCTGCAATATCGAACTTACCAAAAATGACGTCCTCTTCTTTAAGGTTATCAACAGAGATGTTATTATCGCGCAACCAGGACAAGACATGTTTCCAAAAACTAGATGATATTTTACAGGAAAAGAGTAAATGCTCTATGGATTCAACTTCTGTTTGGCAGAAAGTACAGGATGTCGAATCAGCTATGCCGAAACGAAACAGTTTTTCCTTTGTAAAGACAATACGGTTTAAAATTTTAAACTGAAATTCTCTAAGTTTAGATTCTAATGTTGTGCGAAGCGATAGAGAATAAACACTTTTCCAATCAATATCAATGTTTGAATACTTTGCAGCTAACTTTACTTTAGCAGTAGGTGTTGTTTGTTTTTTCTCCAGGAAAAGCCGGTAGATTTGCTTTGAGGAAGCATCAAGAATTGGAACCAAATTGTTACTTATTAGGATAGCAGGTGAATCCGGAAGTGGATCAATCACCGGTGCAGTAGTTGCCCTTTTAATTGTCAAGCGCCAACTGGCAGGCATAGAGTTAATAATACCCATAATGAAGAAACCTTGCTCAGGATTGAGATTTTCTTTAGTTGAAAATAAATCGCAAATTTTTAAAAACCCTAAATCTGCAATATCTCTACGATACACAGATTTCTTATTAATGCAGAGAAGCTTGTTATTCCAAATAACTTCATTTGCAATTTCATGTAGCAAGCTGTGTGTTTTTGCATTTACTTCTGACCACGCATCGAGACATTGCTTGTAGAAACTTGGTAGATAAATTCTTAATTTAGAAGTATCAAAATTACAATGCAATATGAGCTTCCCACCAACGGGGATAAGAACCTCTTTTAAAAAAGCTTTCCACGGACTTTTATAGTCTTCCAAATATTTTTTTATACATATCACTCGTCTGGTACGAACCATAGAATCAATAGAATCAATATCGAACATATTTAAGCCACCCTTCTCAACTTCCGAAATCATCACATTTCGTTTTACTTTATCTTTCCCATTCCAAATAAAATAGTAAAAAAGCGAGTCGGCCTCTTTGATAAGGTCTTTAGAAATCGGCAACACCGACGCTCTAAACATAAACTTAGGGATGGCAAAGGTTTTTATAATTTGTATTCTACCTAAGAGAGAAAGACCACGCCATTTCTACAAATTGATCGTCTTCTTAAGTGATTTCAAAGTATTCCTAAAATTCAATTCATCTCTTTGTTTAGCGTCATAGCCAAAGTAGACGCCTAGAATTTGAATAGTTAAAAAGATTTGGCATATCAGAATACCCCTCCCAAAGAGAACCACTATTTCCTAAAGCTAAGGCTTCGGTTTTTTTATTATTTATTTTTAAACCACAACATTCACCAAAAGTCTTCAGCGTAACGAATAGGTTTGTATATGAACTACTATCTTTGATAAAGCAGGTCATGTCATCAGCGAAAAGGGACAGTTTGACAAGTTCATCTTGTATCGTAATGCCGTTAATGCCATCATCTTCTCTTATCTTTATAGCTAAGGTCTCCAAAGCTATTATGAACAGGTAGAGAGAGAGGGGATCTCCCTGCCTCACTCCCCTACTTAGTGCAAAAGGTCCTGTTGTAAAACCATTGTTCATTACACAGCTAGAGGCGTTGTTATATGAGACCCGTATCCACTGAATAAAAGAAGGACCAAAGTTAAATGCATGTAATACTCTTAAAAGAAAATTCAAATTGAGTGAGTTGAAAGCTTTTTCAAAGTCTATAGGTACTAGAATCCCAGGTATATCTTTGTACCTAGCATATTGAATCACATCATCGATCGTTCTGACGGCATCAAAAATTGTTCTCCCCTTTACAAACGTGTTTTGATTAAAATGAATTATTTCAGGAAGCACCTTTTCCAAACGCTTTGCCAAAGTTTTAGACGCCAATTTAGCATCAACATTTATAAGGGATATTGGACGCCAATTCTTCACCAACCTTTTGTCTTTTCCTTTCTTTTCAATTAAGATGATAACGGCCTGTTTCTGTGAGTTCGATAGTTCACCGTATTCAAAAGCATAGTTCAAACTATCAACTACCAACTTTCCAAGCAAGGGCCAAAAGGCTTCGTAAAACTCGGCTGTTAAACCATCGTTCCCTGGCGATTTATTCTTTTGGAAGGTCTAATACATAATAGCATTCATCATATCTAAGGATACCCTCGCAAACGTTTCTCTTCTCGTCGGCTAAAAATGGAACATCGGTGAGATCATTTATAAACAAAGAAATAGTGTGCGTGTCTGCGGAACTTCTACCATCATAGAGATTAGAATAATATAATTCCAATTCATTCATAATCTTTTTTGGGTC